AAGACGTTGATCTTGACAGAGGAGTACGTCAGTTTGATTACGGATCGCAGTCTTTACTAATATACGTACAGAGAACCAGAGATTCTGTCCTGCGTTCTCGAATTCCTGTACAAAGGTGACTACACTCCGCGCTTGTTACGGAAGAAAAGCCGGAAGACATGGGGACTCGAGGACTACCAGGACGCCCACCACCCCGGCGGCCCTGACCTGAGTAAGGCGACGATTTTCCACTCTGGAGTGGGGGATCTCGTTCTCCGGGATACTGCCGTGTACTGTGCGGCCGAAAGGTATGGCTTGGAGGGGCTCAAGGACCTTGCTCTCCGCAAGCAAGGTCTACAGACTGGGATTCCCATCGATATCATTATCCGGTCTGCACGGTACGCATATGACAATACTCCGGACTCAGACTACCGGCTGCGCGCTCATTACCTGGCAATGATTATTCGAACTCGCGACATCTTCAAGCGCAGTGGAACCATGCAATTCGAAATGGAGATGGGACATAAGTTCTTCTTTGATCTGTTCGTTGCCATGTGCAATCATATGGATGACCTTGGGGATTTGAGGTAACTCAAGCCCTAACGGATTTCAGCAGCAGCTTATAAGATCCGTTTTGGCTTGAAATAACCTTGCCAGGACATCCATATCTGCACGCCAACCAGGGAAAAAAAAAGAAAATCTCAAAAAAAATTCACTGTACCAACTCGAAGCCATCGTTCAAACCAGAATGCCAGAACAACACGCAACAGTTCATAATTTGATCAATTCACGTTCCTCGCTCCCAGGCTGGCCGACTGACGAAGTTATGATTACTTTTCTCGCGTTATTATGACATTCTAATGCTTGTGATGAATTTGGCTTGCACTCTGTACAGGACTGCCGACTATCGAATGTTTATCTCTATACCATCTCCGCTCATTTGATTGCTTATGGTACTTACTATCTACGATGAAGGTTGACCGCTGGGAGACGAATATGAATGTTGACCAGGATACTTTCTTGCATTAAACAAGGCTTATACTCTAGTAACTCTGTAGCATGAGACTCATGCCATTTTGATAAATATCAGAGAGTGGATTGGTCCCTCAAGGATGCCGCTGAGTTGCGTCTTAATCTACGGCCGGAGCCTTCAGGTTGATGGTCATATTAGTGTGGTTTTGATCATTAGTCTGTGACTTTTGAGCCCAACTCAACCCACGCGCGCCAGCCCGAGGCCTGGCTACGCGACATATTCCTTTTGTTTTCGTTTAGAATCTCCTCGCGATCTTCAGCCATCCACCACAACAATCCTCATGGCAGTAAACACCAACACGCAGGCCACGTCGCCGCGTATCACTCGCCGCACAAGAGCAAACTATTCTTCACTATTTCAACAAGCAGTACAGACCCTGCTGAAAATATGGACAGAAGGACCGCCAGATGACGAGCCCAAGATTCGCGACGAGGTAGAAGACTTCCTGAAAGATTCAGCAGTCACCCTCGACTTCGACGAACATGACATCGGAACACTGCTCTTGCGTTCTGCCCAAAATGAAAACGACCCGATATTCAGACTCCTCACCGGCCATAATCCCGATGTTGGACGACTTAGCTCGCCCTCCAGCAATGCATTGCACTGGGCCGCAGTCAACGGGCATGTCGAACTACTCAAAAAGCTATTAGCCGAGGATGTCACCCAGCCAGACGCGAAGGATAAACAAGGCCGAACGGCACTTTCGTATGCGGCAGCAGCCGAGGCGGAGGGAACAGTGAATTGCTTCTAGAGAGCGGGAGAGTCGCCATCGATTCGCGGGATAAGGATGGCGCGACGCCGTTGTGGTGGGCTGTTCGATCGGGGCAGGAGAAGACCGCCAGGGTTCTAGTTGCGCGTGGAGCTGCTGTGCCTCGGATCGATGATGAAGAAATGATGCGCGGTCTATTGTTTGAGACGGTGGTGAATAAGTCGTCAACAATACTGGAACTGCTTCTCGGTCCCGGTACGAGAGAAGAGCACGGAAGGCACTGCAAGTGGTTGTTTGTCAAAAATGACGAGGGGCGGACGCTTCTCTCAATCGCTGCTGAGACCGGCAACTTGGAAACACTAAGGACTCTCATGTGGAAGTACAGCTATTCGATTGAGCTCGATATCCCAGACAAGGACGGCCGCACTGCTATCTGGTGGGCAGCGTCCAGAGGACATGATCAGGTCCTAGTGAGACTGCTCGGTTTTGTCCAGCGGGCTGCCGCCATTGATTCTGCGGATGTCAATGGCTTTACGCCCCTCTCTGAAGCTGTTAGGCAGTGGCTCGCATGTCCCGAGGATACTACGACCCATGGACTATCCGATGGGGGACTTGATCGCAGAGCTGATGTCGTGAGGCAGCTCCTTCATCGTCCTCTTGTCACGACCAAGTCCATTAAGGACGATCAGTTTTCAATGCTGCTTTGGCGCAGTGTGAGGGGTGGACACCGGAGGATACTGTACTCACTTGCTCTGAGGGATAATCGTGTCAAGCCTGATTCCGCCGATCCAGATGGCAATGGGCGAACACTTATGTCTTGGGCTGAGGAGACTGGGTTTAGGGAGCTGGTTGGGCTGATTCATGGGGAAAGACCTTCTAGCTGGGGCATTAATGATATTCAGTGGGTCTGAAGGCCATCCACTCTCTGCTTTGCATATTTTGGATATCTACACAGATTACTGGCTATCAATTATGCGTTTGAGCTTCAACGAGCAGCCAGCACGGTCATCACCACAATGATCCAACATAATTAACTGCACCTATATTGAATTAGCCCACTCACACTTTTCTCGATCTAGCTCCGTAATTCTCTTTCAATCTCCTTTCCTCCTAGTACCATGGCACAGTCCATGTTCCTCTACAAGAGTTGCGCAGGGATCCATATAGATTTCTATTTGGCCAATCAGAGCTCATATCTTACTGTGGCGTTAAAGTGGCGGTGCAGTGGCTAAGTCAGATCTAGATCCACTATAATAAGAGGCCTCAGGCACACTGTGATATCATCGCCCGTCAGCTCAGGCCAACACCATCACCGACTTCTTTGTTCAACTTCAAATAAATAATGCCCACTCCATAGCAGCATACACTGGATCAAGTTCATTGAAGACACATATACCCATTTTATACCGTATTCTGGAGTACGCAATGAAATAGTGCCCAAATGCAGTTCAACAACCTCTTCAGAAGCAACGCCAAATCCTCCCCTTCTCAATCCCATCGCAGGTCGCAAAATCCGGTCTTGACGGCCGAAGACGAAGCCTTTTTGCAGAGTGTCACGTCTGAGTCTTCAGTGTCGACGGATGGAGGTATGGGCTCTGAAGTTATCAGAGAACAGCCTGTTGGGTCTGGTTCTGTGGAGGTAGAGACGCAGGCACCTATTTCACCAGTTGAGGAGTTCGGAAGGGAGCTTGGAGAGCAGGAAAGGAGGAAGTCTGTGGTGGAGGCTGAGACTACTGGGATTTCGAAAACAGATACTGGGACGTCGGAGAAGGCTAAAGCGGGGAGGGCTGCTAGTCCGGAGACAAAGAAGAGGCCTTGGAGTTTTATGTGGAAGAGGGGGGACAAGAAGGTGCGTCCTCCACGAAGCTACCTGGTTCTTTATTGAAGAAGGAATTTAACGGCATATCCTTTCTAGGTTCCCGAAAGCCAGGGCGCAGATACTACCCCAGCTACAACCGTTGAGTCTACAGACGACAAAGACAAGGGTGACAAGGAGATAAAACAGGAGAACGAAGATATGACTGAGGTCCTCGACCGACTGAATCTGGCAGCCGATAACAACAAGGTTTTTTCAATCAGCGACGAGACGCAGGAGCTGCTACGCAAGTTCAAGTTGATTTTCAAAGACCTGATCAACGGCGTTCCAACCGCATACCATGACCTCGAAATGCTGCTCACAAACGGTAACAGGCAGCTCCAAGATACCTACTCGAACCTACCGAGCTTCCTTCAAAAGCTGATCGAGAAACTCCCCGAGCGGTGGACGGAGTCTCTCGCTCCGGAAATGCTCGCCGCTGCCACCGAGCGAGCGAGTCAAAGTGGTGTCAATGTAGAGAATATAGGTAAAGCCGCCGCCGCAGCTAATAAAATGGGTTTGAAAGTGCCCAGCTTGAAGGAGTTGGTCGGGAAGCCGGCTGCGATCGTGGGGATGCTGCGATCGATCATGGCGTTCCTTAGGGCTCGGTTCCCCGCCGTGCTGGGGATGAATGTCCTTTGGTCATTGGCTTTATTCAGTAGGTCTCCCTACCAATTGCTACAGCCCAGATTATATTGTGATGCTAATCGTACCACAGTCCTCTTATTCGTCCTTTGGTACTGCCACAAGCGCGGCCGCGAGGTCCGACTTGAGAACGAGCGCCTCGTGACAGAGGAGGAAGTTAACAAGATGAATCAAGAATCTGCCAACGGATCAGATCCCCAGATTCGGAGCACGGAAACTCTAACAACGACCGCTGCACGGGGTGCGTCTGCCGCTGAGGTCCGCGAGGGCATCAGGGAAGCGCAGAAGACTCGGGATAATAGGGCTTCGGCCGTGGTAAGCAAGGAGGCTGGGAAGGAGAGGGAAAATAAACCCAGCGGTGTCGAGAATGAGCCTATCAAGCCGACAAGGTCGAAATCAATATTGTCTATTTTTGGACGTTCTGGCAGCGCAAATTCGACGCCGAAGGTTGAACCATATCCGGGTACCTGATTTATGAGGAATAGGTTATGTTATGTTATGATGAACGACGACTTGGTTATGAATGCACGGTTATGTTTGAATTTGATATCATACCTTGATGTATCTTGGTCTGTTATGGCAAGCAATAATACTATGACAACTGACATTAGACTTTTCTCTTCTTTTTCACTCAGTCTCGCTATAGATGAGCCTTGGGCCGGTAAGTACCTCTCCACCTAGGACGTGAGCGCGCAAAAAAATTAAATGTCACGACACTTGTTCCCAAACCAAGAGGGGTCTATATATAGTTTAAGAGGTTTGAAAAGAAAAAATAAAGTCTCCGATACGGGGAATCGAACCCCGAGCTGCCGCGGACCAGAACTCTCATTTAGTTATGAAAGGCGGCGATGTTAGCCGTTACACCATATCGGATTGGTTGATAATTTTGATTAAAATTAGGCTTTATCAATAAAGTACATTGGGCTTTTGGTGACGGTCGAAGCCCTAAGTGCTTTTTCAGGGTGTCAGATGGATCAGGCAGCCTTGCTATTTATCTACCAGAGCTGTAGTGGTTGTGCTTTCTGTAGTTATGGTTAGATATTGGGTTAGACCATGGTGTCTTGGTCGCGAGGTTCGTCTGTGCTTGGAAGGATAATTTGACTGCAGTGTCCAGTGGTGATGGTCTAATGAGTATATATATTTCTTTCGGGTGGTTCGGAGCCAGCATGATAGAGCGTTGCAAGGGAACCAAGGATCTAGCTTTCACCTACACTAGAGATAGCAACTTTAAGACAATCTCAAGCTATGGTGTTGCCATTACTTACTCAAGCAAGGACAGGACTCAAATGACAAACTTGTAGAGGGGGCCAGGGATTAAAGTGCAGCATCAGACTGTCGCAGACGCAAGCTGATATAGGTACCTACCTCTATCTTGAATTTCTCAACAGCTGGAAGGTTCTGACCCTCGAATGGATTGCCTGCAAATTTCCCAGACCATTGTTTAGCACTGCATGGGCAAATTGAGTAATCTGCTCCTTTTCAGGGCCCATCTGCTGGGACATCTGCTGGGACATCTGCTGGGACATCTGCTGGGATACTGTTATCATGGTGCCATGGAAACGAGTAACACCAGCTGCGCTCGGCTTTCGCATCGGAGTGGACTAATTAGGTACTAGGTCTTGCAGGCATCGTCTACCACCTCCCGCCATCATATCCTCCCATACACCCTCTCCACACAACCCCCCTACGTACCGTCCTTCCTAACCAGATACCCATTAACAAACTACGACTGCTCTATCCAGGACAATGGTCAAGCCCATTACTCCCAAGCCCAAGAAGCCCACTAAGAAGCCCGACGATTGCAAAAACGCCCTCGACCCAACTTCCTCCTGGACATCAGCCTGCAATCTCGTCGGCAAATCAGCCGCCTCTGGTGTCCTAAAGAAGCTGATGGCAATGGCCCCAGCCCGGGAAGTCATCGCGCGCTCATCTTTCGACCCCAAGCACGCAGACTGGACCCACGGTGCCAGTCGCGAGGCCTTACTTGCACAGTTTGTCGGAACCTCCCAGGATCCCGAATGCAGCCATTGCTCGCGGGGCGCTGGTCCATTCGTGGGCTGCGTTGTCGTCCGGGGAAAATTCGGGGGTGCTTGCGCCAATTGTCTTTTCATTAACAAGGGAGATCGATGTAGCGTCCGAAGTGAGTAATTGACTATGCTACTATCGGGTCACTTTATGCAGGGGACTAACCGGATGGTATTTGGTAGAGAAATCCAACATGCCCAGCACACCGCATGACTCGGGAACCAAGCGACAGAACGAAAGCCCTCACCTCGCTGTCGACCCGAAGACAAAGAAGGTCCGGGAGAACAAATTGGCCAGTGAGGAGGGGAAGGAAGAAGTTGATGATGGCTATGCAGATGCAGATGCAGATGACGAGCAAGATGATAATGTGACGCGGGACGCGAAAGTGACGGCTACCAAGTCAGGAACTCACTGGACACGTCGCATGCACCTGGCTTTCCAAAACGCAGCATCCTGCTTTGACGCAGCGGCGGAGGGCCTGTCGAACCTGGCGACTGCGGCAAATCTATGTGCGCAGGCTCTCGCTGTTGAAGATTACGACGAGGAGTACTGTGTAGAGGACGAGGAAGCAGAGAGAGATGGGGAAGGTGACGGACAACTGGAGGAGATGCTGCGAGCTGTGTTGGAGAGACCCTCGCAGGTGAAGAAGAGCAAGGGAAGGTCAGCCGCGAAGGATAAGAAGGCACGCAAGTAGAACTATGGCCGTGGACTGAGATATGGTTTTATGGTATGTTGCAGTGGGATTCTAACTACATTGTCAGAGCACAAGATGCAGTGCGAGCTGAGATGATATGTTGTCCTTCTTACTTCCAACCCTAATCAGAGCTCTCTGGAAAAGTTATCCCAAATGATCTCCACTCCTGTTTGTGAACACTGTTGCAAGAAGAGATGGGATACGCAAGTTTCTGTTGTGCGATGCCACAGTATGCGCGGTATCTGGGTATTACCTAGTGCATTGGAACATATAGCCATCTCACAGGTTCAGCCATTTTATGTATGCAACTTTCCTCCACTGTAGGTATGCAAGGTACTGTCGCCTTGACTACTACTACTGATACACGGAACAAGCTGGTCACGCTCGCTTCGCTCGGGGGGGGTGCCTTTTCTAATCCCTATCTGCCACCGATGTATTCCTAATAAGAGTAGTACTGTATTAGTAGTAGTATTAATATCTATATTCTAAATGCTCCGCACGACTCGCTGCCCTCGTGCGCTCCGCCCAACTGCTTGGGTAAGGGCAAGTATTCTTTTAAAAGTATAACCCTAATACTGCTACTACTACTAAGATACTACTACTGAGACTAACATAGGAATATAATGATAGGTGGCAGGTAAGGATTAAAAAAGCGCCCCCGCGAGCGAAGCGAGCGTCACCAACTTGTTTCCATATATAATAGAGAGATAAAACGGTTGCTACCCGGGCACAGATATATAGTCCCGACTCGACCGAGCGCATACAAAAGGCAATACCGAATCGAATGCACTTGATGGAAACTGTGACATTCAGAAAAGGCGTATCAGCCCGCCAAAGCCTTGCTGTCCATTTATAAGGTATCTTATGGATATACAGTAGAGTAGTTCCTGCCTAAGTAGATATCAGAAAGTCGAATATGGAAGGTAAGCAGTTTTTTTAATAGCTTACATGTTTGTTTGGATGATGTATTCAAAAATAGAAAGTCTTTGCAACAATCGTCCGATATGGTGTAACGGCTAACATCGCCGCCTTTCATTACCAAATGAGAGTTCTGGTCCGCGGCAGCTCGGGGTTCGATTCCCCGTATCGGAGTTCTTCTTTTTGGAACCTTTTCTTTTTTTCCCCCTTCCCGCGCGGAAAGAGCACTCACTGTATAGTTAGTTAGTAGTCATGGAAACAACAAACTTTATCTAGCAGCTGCTGTCAGACTTCCAAAGTTATATATATCTGCTTCTTATCTAATCTAGATAGTGACCCCCCCCTCTCCTTTCAAAGAAAATCCGACACACGTCGTACGGTTGCCGCGAAGCTGGGCTCCCTGCAGGTGCTGTCTTGGGCTGCCTCTGATGAAACGGAGTGCCTGCACGGCTGATTCCGGTCTACAGTCCGCCACTTGGGCCTTGCTTTTGTGATGACTCTGGCCTGCTTAGAGTTGGAGTTGTAAGCAGATTACAGTTGGTTTCATGTCAAGACTGGAGACTGGATGGTAGCGTTGGGGAGGTAGGTGAGCCTTTAAATATTGAATAGCGGATTTCTTTGGAGGGAGCCAATCTCACTTTTGTCCATCAGGTATGTGACACTCATTGATCCCTGAAAATGTTTACACTGCTTGCTAAGGTAGATGGGGAAACATTTGATTGCTTCCGATCCATTTTGCTAAGCGCAGGTCTGTACCTGTAAATAGGTTTAAGTTCCTTCTGCCCCATCAAAACATCTGCCCAGTTCTAACACTAATCCGCCCTATAAAGTATAAGATAGTCCGGTAAGGTAGGAAGTCACACATGGCTGGTCCTTGTATCCATATTCAGATCCTGGTAAATAGCTGCCTTGGTTACAGCCGGCTAATGGTGATAGACTCTAGAATGATCATTGTAGGGCCAGATGGCAACCTTACCCCCAGGATGTCTTTCCCATCATTTACAGGCGGTACCATCAACTTAGGTACGAGAATGTTTATAACCCATCAGGGTGCCATCCATGACTGTCTCGTTCTTTTCCCAAGTAACCTGAATGAGCCAACATGCCTTGGAATCCTCATGGAACCCATATTCCTTATTACCTATGCCTCTAATCAAGAGCTTTTTTTTTTTTTTTTCCCCGGACAGTGATAGATACTGGTGCACCTTGCTGGTCCTGTTGGAAAGACTTCTGAAGATGATCTTTATAGGGAAATATCGGGCGGTTTCTTTTAATGAGGTTGATCCACCTATACAGTACGGTATACAGTAATCCTTCTGCAACGGGCCCAAGTGCTGGGAGGTAATGCCGTGGAATGAACATATCCTCAAACAGACCCTTGAGGCCTACGAGGGCCTCGTGGAAGCCATCAACAATCGTCTTCCGCCTTCTTCCACACTCTCCCCAGATGCTGTTGATAATAACCAAAGAGCAACAATTGCAACAGAGGACACACTCCCCTCAGAAATCAAGGGCTTCCCACGAGTCATCCCTCCCGCGGCATCCAAGCCGCGGTTCCGCTACATTGCTCCAGGACTAACAGTCAACGACCCGGCCAATCCTTCCGCACGATATCAATTCCTACCCGGTCTGGGATGGAAACATGATACGCAATCATCGTGGAGGCAGAGGCGGCTTTCAGCCCACTCGAGTGAGGCTTTGGGAATCGCTTGGCGACTGTCCATTCTTTACAGACCATGGAAAGAGGCTGGTTAGTATATTGAAACTGTGGAAGGATCTTGCTGAAAGTGGTGTTTGGAGCGTGGGGGAAGATGGGGTGACCGGTGGGATGGAGTTTTATCGGCAGACGGAGGAGGAGGAGGAAAAATAGAAGATGTTTGTTTTGAGATTCCGGTTGTTGATGCTCCCGAGGACATAGCTTGGGATGAGGAGGGTGAAGACGGCAAGTCGATAGTCCTGAAATCGCTCCTTTACTTAGATAACGTCGATCTGCCCGTGTCCCAATGATATCTGTACTAACTATGAGCTAGACACTCTATTTAACTTTGGCTTTGGTTAAGGTCCAAAATTACTTATGTTAAGGTATACTAGTAACTTAATACAAGAGCAAGTTTCTGCAATCAAACTTCCTACTTATGATTAAGTTGACTTTCGGGCCTTCCCTTCCCATTCGGAACCAAAATTACCTACAGAGTTCGAATAATCGCAAGCGACCATGATACGGATCCCGCCTGAA